TAATGGGCACCATGACGCTTGTGAAGACCCAATATTTTCTTAAATGTTTCGGTTTAACAAGCAATAATATGGGATGTAACGGACTTTAGGGATAGACTGTTTTAACTTTGTTACAAGGAGGTCACAAATACCTCAAGCCATCTGTTTTCAAATTGGACAACTTGAATTATATCACAAAGTTCGAATTTTTTGTTTTTAATGTTAAACTTATTCAATGATATACTTATAGCCATCTGATTTGAAATCCGACGAATAAAAGTGATTGTGACCTCCTTGCATCAAAAGCAAATGGTCTCTTTGTATATTTTTCCCAGACTTTATAGTGTCGGTGCTATTTTTACTTATTAGTATAGTCAATAAACAATGAACATGAGATATATATATAACATCCAATTTTTTATAGAAAGAAAAAGGGTTTTTTGTTTTTTTTCCTTTGTTGAACCTTGGTTTGCTTCATCATTATACCTAAGTTAGATGATGGAGCGATGGTTTTGCAATTGGAAAAATGTATAATAAGACCATTTAGATTTGGTACTGGAATGTTGGGATAACCAATGGATGTTGGTTTTGGAATCATGCAAGTGAGATTATGTGATTAACAGGGATTAAAGTCCAAAGGAAAAATTTCCAAACTTTATGAAATAACCAAAGATGTCAAATTTTGCACCTAGTGGCTAGAATAATTATGACCTCCTTACACCAAATGTAAGTAGTCTCATAGTATACAATCTCTTTTCAATTAGGAGAAAGACTTAGGCATGACATAATTGGTGGATAATTTATTGGTTCAAATAAATCATTTCTACAATAAGTTTTTGTTGGGATTTAATAAAGGTATTATATGTGGAAATAGGAATACCAAAAGTCAGATCCCGTGGGGATCATGTATTAACAACTACAAATAAAATCAGAGAGAGTACAAACCACAATACAAAAAATAATGCATAAAAACACATACACACCCCACAATTACACAAAGATTTATGTGATTTACGCTAAAAGGGGTACACCCACATGCATGACAAACTGAAAATCCACTATACAAAACAGATTTATTGTAGATTTTTAGACACCACCCACTAACCTTCCATCCTTATTTCATTGTTAAACTATTATTCATGAAGAAAATCTTGAGAGCAACCAAGACTTTTCTTATTAAAAAGGGATACCAGCCAAAATCTCCATGTGAATTGTTTCTCTTCAAGAAACCAACTTCTCGCTCTTTCAATGCAGTAGACCTATGTCCATCTATCTAGAGGAAGCTACCTTTCCCATTTGGTGACACAAAATAGGGCACTCAAGTTCTTTCTCTCCCATTCCATATACAATGCTGTGAAGCTCATGCTAGGTAGGGATCACATAGATATGACATACATATCCAAACCTAATCAATATAATCAAGAATCGCAATTTTATTGGACTTCTATATTCTTTATCTAATATGAACCCACTTACCATAGGATTTCTTCTTGTAGATAACCCCTTAAAATTTTATTTAATTTTTTAATTCTAAAACCTTGGAGCTCATTATCCCAATACACTATAGGACACAATGAACCATAGTCCATACACGAACCATAATCCAACCATTAAATATTCACCAAATATTCCACAAAACATATTTTACGAAGAAAAAATTTGCAAACCACCATACCAAAGTCCATTTGCATCCTAAAACAATCAAATCCCACCAAAATTATGAAGTCTTGGAAGAAAATCCAAAACTTCGAACACATTATGCGCTTCGTTGGGGCTATTGGGCCCTGCAACTCGTAATGCGTGATTGAAACTCTAAAAGCTTTGATCGAAGCATTTATACACAATCATCTTGTTTGATATGCCACATATTAAAATAAAAGCTCTGGATGACTGTGAAGATGGATCATTTTTAGAGCTTCAAATTCTTTTTTCGAGATATCATTCTTAAAGGGTACTATATGGATTTAGGTTCTTTGTATCCTCACCTGGTGGATGCCATGCCATAGGTGAATGACGTGAGCCTCCATAGTTTTGGTGCGGCCACACCCAGGACATTTTCCTTGAATAAAATAGCAAGTATGATAACCTCTAGGTCATGTACTGGAGTGATTACATGGGCTCTCGAGCCTCACATCTCTAGATTAGAGTTCCTAGAATGACAAGAGGGCGGCTAATGGACGGCAGATCCAATAATGCACATTGAAAAAAGAAAAATGTTTGAGAAGGAAAAAATATTATTATGAACAAAATATAGTATGTACACTTGTTTTTTAAGGCAAAAAAACAGGAAAAAAGTTTATGTAAGGGTGACGCCCTAAACAACCAAATTGAGGCGCATCTAAAAAATTTACTAGAAGAGGTTGTTTCCATGCCAAAACATCTTTAAATTAATCATCTGGAGCTCAAGATGTGTGAATATTAGAAAAAAAATGGATTTCAAATATTAGAAATAATGCATCATGTAATGTATTTTTGGACCATCAATTTTTAAGATTTTAAAGTGTTTATATATCCGATTGATCTACGCTATTTTGAATATTTTAAATTCTATAAATGGATATAAAAGTTAATTTTCAGGTCATCGCAAAGAATTCTAGTGCTAAAACAATATTTTGTTGCTATTTGACAGGTGCGCCTTATTTTTATTGTTTAGGGTTTCAACTTTATACAAACCACACCCAAAAAAGACTCATTGGCCAGATTTATTTGTTATATTTTTGTATCAAAAATATCCAGAGTTATTATAAAATAATATATTTTCAAATCATAATCATTAGAAAGTGAAACTATATATTATTACATAAAAAGAAATAATGGGTTTTTTGTCTCGTATTACAAAATTAAAAGCGCGAGTTAAGCTTAAATATAAGAATACCTTATTCTATTGTGTTATACGAACCAAGGGAAGATATGGTACGTGAAGCATATGATGTGGACATATGTGTATAAAGGTGTTTAAGACGTACTTTATACTATGCACACTCGCATCGGCGTAGAGAAAACCTTCACTCAGAGCTCGCTTTTTTTTGCTACGTTCAAAGTCTCTGACCAAATCCCAAGTCGTTAACCGAGTTGGGTAATGTTGTTAGCCAAGGATTGCATTGATGTGAGCACTGAGCATAGTGAAATTGTTGGTCAGAGCCACTCACAACGATGATGAGGCTAGTCAAGACACCTGCAACATTTTCGTTAGGATTCAAGGGTATCTAGTACATGAAAATGTAGAACTGATGGACAATTATATAACGGGCAAGTTGAGAAACAAAGAGTTACAACAAGGGATGGGTGCCCCGGGTCCGGAGGAGCCCGAAACTATTTGTCCCGGCCCAAAAGTTAGAGTTGGAAAACCAGGCCTGTGGTCGGGCCGAATTAGGCCCTAGAGTGACCAGCTTTTGCTGCCCAGCCCAGACCATTGGCAGCCCTAGTTACATCTCATCCTTCAGCTACAATGACTAAGGGGTGATCAACTATCTGCTGCAAAATGGCACACACTCTCTCACTCTCCGAACCAATTTTGTTGACACAGTTTCTAGCTAGCTGAATTCATTATGCTATATTTTTCTTTTCAAGAAGGTCACTCTAGTGCTCTAGATCATATTGTACTTGTGCATTTATACAAATAGTATAGGTATGCAACTTTTTGTTCCATGTATCTCGAGAATAAATTTGATTGTAGAACTTAGGTTCATACTAATTTTCATTAGTAAAGAGCTAATATTGTCATGGAATGATGGTTCGTGCCTGCAAACAAAAATGTCTCGAGTTCTTCAAAATTTTCCAAATGCGTTTGTCAACTTACTATATTACTGCCCCTTTTTCGCTGATTCAAAACTAACATCCTTGGACCCCGTATCTTGTAAATCTCTTCATTCATCTCAATGAACAACCTCAAAAACAAAAATAAAAAAAAAGATTTAAATTCACAAACTAAAGGAGCCCAAAAAATTCTCACCCCAAAAGTGCACACAAACCTCATTGGGAGCCAGATCATAAGAACCTGAATTCTCTCTTTTTTCCTTGCAAAAAAAATGGTTGATCTGGCGAATCAAAGTGGTTTCACAACATTTCATATCAAATAATTTTTTTTTCCCTAAGTGCAAGGGTACATTATTGGGTTCTTGAAAAGGAAACTGTATCCTACTCAACATATGCTCCTAGGGTGTAGTGGGTTGGTCGGTTCTTGACCTGACTCGACTAGATCCTAGCTGAGGCAAGACCTAACTAAGACACTTGTCGCATATAGGTCATTGGACATGGACCTGACTCACTATGTTAGATCGAGTATAGGTCTTGACCCAACTCTACCCGGCAAGGTATAGGAGAAAAATAAAAAAAATGGGGAATCGGTTGATTTTAGAGTTCCCTCACAAAATTAGCATTCATGGTGGCCATTCCGACGAAACTCTAGGACATTTTCAGTAGGGCCTCCCAAACGAGGCTGGCAAAAGGGTTTTCACTGTCTAAAAGTACACTAGAAACAATGCTTAATGAAAATCTATGATCATGAGTGTCATCAGAATAGGTTTATTGGTATGGACCACAAAATATATTATGCCTCTAAATACTAGTCAATTTCATACTTTCATCTCATTTTTAAGCAAGGGAAGTTATATTATTAAAAAATTTAAATCGTACATTTTAGTTAGATACTATGGATTTTACTTTAATGTATCATAAAATTGTGCCAAATATGCACTATCGAACTAAAATAAATGTGGAAAGTGTAGTTGCCTTACTACTGTAAGTGAAGTTGCCCTTCAATCACCCACATGCTATGACCCACATGAATTGAGAAAATCATAACCATGGAGACAATCATCATATATATGGGATTGAACGGTGATAATGGAGTGTAACCGCCTTATGTAAGTTAAGTGATTGAACGGTGTTAGTAGAAGTGCGGTAGCATAAAACATGTTGATAATCCAAAGCAGAAAAACAAATGTCACTTTATCACCTTCCAAGCCATTAAATGGATGGTGATAAACTCATGATCACAATATTTTCCTCACATAAGGATCATAGTGTACAGTCGATTGGCTTTTCTTTCTCCCGCCTGGCCTGAGGGTTTAAGCAAACTCCATTACCTCCTCCCTTCTGCAACTTAGGGTTTCAATCTCCTTTTTTTCCTTGAATGTCAACTTAGGGTTGAAATCTCTTAGGTTAGGATTTCCCGTGTTTTCTTTCTACTAGCGTTTCATCACGCTCTCATTCATCTCTCTCATTCTAGGGTTTTTCTCGAGGTTTAAGCCATTCTCATTCCCCTGGTCTTTTCTGCAGGTTTCAGTGAGTTGTTGTTCTCCTAGGGTTTTCAGATATCCATTCTCCTTAGTTTCTCTTTTTCTTCTTCTGTCCAACCAGAGCATTGTAAATATGAGCTTCTCGGCCTTTAAGCTTATGCACTGGGCCACTGCTGTGGAGAACTGTGCATCTGGCTATATAACACATTCTTTCTCAGATTTTGCAGCGAGTGTGCCTGCAATTCAGAATGATGATCCTGATTCGGAATGGGACCAGCCTCCTGTTAAAGCTAGAATTGGGCCAATCCCCAACCTCGTGATCTCTGCTGCCAATGTGCTTGAGGTATATGTAATTAGGGTCCAGGAGGAGGATTCTAAGGCATCAAGGCATTCTGGTGCTTCGTCTGGGTCTAAGGGTGGAGGTGTAGTGGCTGGAGTCTCTGGTGCCTGGCTGGAACTTGTTTGCCATTACAGGTTCACTCACAATTTCCATTTCTATGGTTTGACTACGGAATTCTCATCCATTTATTCTTAATTTTTTGTGAATTTTTTGGGGAGTTTTAAATGGGAAGGACGATTTGGTTGTAACGTGTAATGCCTTTTGTGGTTTTATTTTTCTCGGAGATTATAAAATTTTCCTGCGATTAAGAGGAATTTGTAATTGCAACTTTGTCTTTTTGCTGTGTATGGTAGTAACTTAAAGAATATGTGAATGCTTGTTCAGGGTTTTGAATTTGAGAGAAGATTATGGTGTGGATTATAAGGCTATTTTTGTTACTTTGATGAGGCTAAAGTTATTCCACACAAATTAGACCCTTTCATCCTATGATTTGATTCATATTCTGGACTCTTAGCTTAATCAGTTATTATATTCATATATGGATTTGAAGGTAATTATATTGATTAAAAAAGCGGTCCGCCCAGGCGGGATTGGGTGGCCTGGGTGGACCAACTAGGCTGGCTGTGCTTGGGTGCCTGCCTGGGGCCCCTATGTGGCCGCCTGGTACCCACCTAGGTGAGCGCCCAAGGGACTACGCCCACCAGTTGAAAAAATACCCATCGGATTGGGTATTTTAGGTGTTTTTTTGTTTGGATCGAATATGCATTTTTTTATACAAAATCTGTACCCTGAAATCGGGTTATTGGACACCATTTGCCCCTTTTTGAACCTAGGCAACTCGGGTGACCACCTAGTTGCCCGCCTATGTGCTGGGCGGCTTAGAACCCCGGCCGCCTAGGGCCCGCCTGGCGTTTTTTGGACCACTGGGTAATTATAAATTTCATTCACATCTATGTTGGTTTATACCCATTTAATGCCTCGAATAGGGACAAAAAGTAGGCAGGTAAATTGGCAAATTGATATTGATAATTCATTTGGATCATTAGTCAAGAAACTGGGCATTACGATTGTTTATTTACATTTTTTTTTTGGTGAAATTGTTCGATAGTTAAAAATAAAATAAAAACATTGAACATTAGTTGATTTATTTTTTATGGCTTAAAAAAAAAATTGAACAATAGTTGTTCTAATGCAAATAATGTAGTATGTTGTAGATATAAATGGCAAACTCAAAAAATATCATGATTAACACACAAAATATTTTCTTTGCAATATTATGAGCTCTTGGAGAAGGTATCCTGGTTGGAGCATCCCTTCTCCAAAGGAGAGATTCTCAAAGCATCCATGACTTAGGTGAAGACTGAGCTCCTGGCTCTGACGGTTTCCCCATCGCCATCTTTAACTCCTGTTGGAGCTTCCTTCGCAATGACATCCTAGCCTTCTTTAAGGAATTCTTTGAAAGGAACATCGTCCACAAAGCCCTCAATGGCACGTTTATTGCCCTGGTCCCGAAAGTTGAAGGGACGAAGAGTGCAAGGATTTTCCACCCCATCAGTCTTATTAATAGTTCCTACAAGATCCTATTCAAGGTTCTTGCTTCTCGACTAAGAGAAGTTCTAGGTTCCATGATCTCTCCCCAACAAGGTGCCTTTGTAAAGGACTGCCAAATCTTAGATAGTGCCTTAATCGCCTACGGATGTCTTCACATGAGGCATCTCTCTAAAACCACTGGACTGGTCATCAAGCTCTATTGGGAGAAGTCCTAGGACCACGTCGATTGGGGCCTTCTTGATGAAACTTTTGCCTGTACAGGTTTTGGACATTGGTGGAGGAAGTGGATTCAAGGATGCATATCCAACTCCCACTTCTTGGTCCTTATCAACGGGTCCGCCAAAGGCTACTTCCCTTCTTCAAGGGGCCTTAGACAAGACGAACCCCTCTCCCCTTTCCTTTTTGCAATAGTGGTTGAAGTCTTTAGTCGCTCCATAAACTGCTTATTCCAATCAGGCTTTGCTGCATGGTTTCAACAGTGGACCCCAAGGTCGAATCATAACCCACTTGCATTACGCAGACGACGCCCTTGCCTTCTGCAATGTCTCTCACCAGGAGGTTGACTTCCTTCTTCTTTTTCTCAAGTGTTTTGAATGGGCTACATGCTTTAAAGTAAATATGGGTAAGTCCAAGATGATTAGGGTGGCCCTTGATCCCCAAGATACCCAGGAACTGGCCGAGAAATGGGAATGCCAATCTGAAAGCCTTTCTTCAACTAATCTCAGTCTACCCCTATGTATAGTAAAGCCTAAACAAAGTTTGTGGGCACACATTATCGATAAGTTTTATCGTACATTTGCAGCATGGAAGTGTTGCTTCCTCTCTTCAGCAGAAAGAATGACTCCGATTAAGGCCTCCCTTTCCAATGTCCCCATCTACCAAATGTCGCTCTTCCAAATGCCAACGATGGTCAACTCCGGTCTTGAGCAACTTATGGGGAACTTCTTGTGGGTAGGAAAGGATGGGAAGCACAAATTCCACTTGATTTCCTGGGACAAGGTGGTCTCAGGGTCCGTAGTCTCAGGAAAAATAACACGGCCCTTTTGGGGAAATGGTGGTGGTGCCAAGCTTTCTAAGATAACTGTCTGTGGCAACAGGTCATACGCCACACTCCTCCTCGTTGCCTAACTGTCGGGTTCACAACAGATCCTTAGGAGTTTAGAGATCCCTTCTTAGTATTTTAATCTCTTCAAAGATAATACTTGTTCCATCCTTGGGAAGGTAGTCAAGTTAGGTTTTGGTATGACCTCTGGACGGGACACCCCTCTCAATGACTGTTTCCCTTCCCTTTTCCTCTTAGCCCTTAACTGTCAAGCCACGGTAGCTGATCTCTTCCCTAACCAAGGATCAGCCAGAGTTTGGAGCCCCTTCTTTTGGAGACCACCCTCAGACTCGGAGTTCTAGGAATTCCTCGACCTCTCTTCCCTTCTTCAAACAACCTTTCTCCCTACTCAAGGCAAAGACAGTATTATATGGTGTCCGACACCTTCAAGGACCTTCTTGGTCTCCTCGTTTTACTGTGAGCTCCTTCAAGCCCCCACCTTCCCCCCTGCTCCAGCTCCTATTGTGGCTAAGGCGCGGTCCTCTTTTGCTCCCCCCAAGATCAAAGTTTTTAACTGGATAGCTTTCTCAGAGAAAGCTCTCAAAGTAGACCAGCTCCAAATAAGAGGCCTACCTATCCCCAACCGTTGTGTTATGTGATGGCATCAGAGAATCCAATGCACGCTTATTCATTCATTGCCCCGTTGCTCTTCACCTTTAGGGAGCTGTTCTCCAACTTTTCCACTGGCCATGGGTGACTCCTCTCACCCTTCCCCTTCTCTTTTCCTTTCTCCATTCCTAACCTTGGGTCAAATCAGGCACCATTCTGTGGAAGGCCTCCATGGCGGCCCTCCTTTGGACTGTCTGAACAGAGAGAAACAACAGGATCTTTCGAGAAGAAAGTTCTTCTCCGGCAGCCTTATTTGAAAAGATCAAGACTACGGTTATCTTTTGGACGTCAAATCACTAGAGATTCAAAGGATTCCCTCCATTGGCCTTCCACTTGGATTGGCTGGCATTGCTAAACCTCATTCATCCTTGTATTTCACATGCCTCTCTGTCGAAACCACCTGAACCAGGCCTCGTCAAACTCAACTTCGATGGTTGCTCCCTAGGCAACCCTGGACCTGTTGGCATCGGTGGTCTCTTTAGGGACCATGAAGGCACTGTTCTGGCCTCCTTGTCTGAAGCATATCGGCCACTCAAACTCTCAAAATCTGAGCCCTTGCACTCCTCGAAGGCCTCAAACACTTTGACCATTCTTGGAGCCCAACTTTGATCATCGAAGGATATTCCAGCAACATAATCTCCTGGGCCTCTGGTTTTGCAACGTTCCCTTGCTCCCTGGCACATGTCTTCGACGAAATTTCTCACTTATTCAAGGGCTTGAATGTCACTTCGAGCCATAGTGCGAAGCAACTCAGATGCTGACACTCTTGCCAAAGCTGGTGCAACTAACTCTAGCGACTGAGTAATTTTTTTGTAGACTCAGTACATTATCACTTTAGGGGCTCTAGCTTCCCCTTCCCCCTTTGTTGCGCTACCAGTTCTCCTGTTCTATTCCCACACACTTTGGTGCTTTTTTTACTAAGATTCTAGTTTGTCCATAGCCATTTTTTGGTGCACATAGCTCCCAGCTTACGGGAAGCCCATTTTTTGTATACTCACGTCATTCTTAATACAAATGTTAACGTTCTCAGAAATAAGAAGTTATGAGCACTTGAGTTATGGACTATAGGCTAGTGATATGACTGGGGTTTCCATGCCACAAAAAATAAAACTTGTTAAAGCATAGTCGAGAAAATATTTCTAGAATAGCAATGTCAAATATTTCAATTATATGAACCTATCTGCATTGTGTTCTTTCATGATTGATTATCATGTCTGAGCTTAATTATCGAGAGAGGAGCATGTCTATTCTTCCTTACTCATTTAATTACCATGATTAGATGTTCCCTTCTCTTTATCAGATCCATTTGTCATTGGGACTCACATGACAATTTTTCAGATTGCATGGTAATGTGGAGACAATGGCAATTCTATCTGCTGGCAGTGATGATGGTCGTAGAAAAAGGGATTCCATAATTCTTACCTTTAAAGAAGCAAAAATTTCTGTTTTAGAGTATGATGATTCACTCCATGGGCTTCGTACAAGGTATTCAGGGGTATCAGTGTATGACTGTATGTTATAGAACTTTTAGTCGTTCTAGCTATTTTGATATTCTCTCTTTTTTTGTTTTTTCCCTTTCTCTTCAATGAACAAGGATAACTATGCTCAAAATCCTGATTCATTTTTTAATCCACAAAGGACTTCACTTGGAAACATTGGTTTTCAGTGGATGAACTCCCCATTCTTAATCATAGGTATCAGTTTATGTTAAAAGGGTAATAAATATGCACCTAATTTTCATCTGAACTTGTATTACCCCTACATGCATTTTTGTCATTTTAATATTACTTTCTAGCTATAATAGACAAAAAATCATTTAGTAACTGACTCAAAGTGTATCTTGGCCTTTTTGATGGCTTCTACTTATATAGGACGCAATCTTTCGTGATCACAGAGAAGAATTTTTTTCACGCACTTATTTAATATTTACAGTTTGCTCTTAATCTCCGTGCTGTGTTGATTGTCCTTTTCTGCAGTTCCATGCACTGTTTTGAGGGTCCTGAATGGCAGTATCTGAAAAGAGGGCGGGAGAACTTTGCAAGAGGTCCCTTGGTGTATGTTGACCCACAAGGCAGGTGTGGTGGCGTTCTTATTTGTGACAGCCAAATGCTAATACTCAAAGCTTCTAAGGTGCTTTTTGTTTCCTTTTGCTAGTAGTTCCTCTTTGGCTTGTCACCACTTATTTTCAGTGACTGTCTAAACTGGTAGTCTACTATTCTTGAACTAGCACGGGCAAGGAAAAGGGGGACATGAAAATTCAGAATAAAATAAATATAAAGGAGGAGAGATTTCAAAAAGGGAAGAAAATAATATATAATAGAAAATTGAAAATAGCAAATAAAGAAAGCAAAATTAAGGCCTGAAATTTATACCCATGGCATCAATTTTTTTTGAGGAAAGGTGACTAGAATTGTATCACTGGGTAATAAAATGTACTCAAAATGGGACCCTCTTAGAGGGCACCTATACATCTCCAAAGGGTTAAAAAATGATACAAAAGCAAAATAATAAATCCAAGGAGAAAAGAAGGGGATCTACTAAGATCTACAGCCCCCTCGAGGAATTAGAGTAAGCTCCCTCTCTAGCAAGATGGTCAGCCTTGGAGTTGGCCTCTCGAAAAACATGGTGCCAAGAGATTGAGATGCTTTGTGACAAATGGGATATCTCATCAAAGATATCATCTAGACACCGTGGGCAAGGGGGGAGACCTGATGCCAAGGCAATGACATTCTTAGAGTCCCCTTCCACCTCCAGGTTGTGACCCCAGGTGGTGTGAGAAATGTGGAAACCTTCTAACAGGGCCCTGGCCTCGGCTAGAGTTGAGTTTGCATGGCCAATGTGGCAGGAAAAAGCTTGCAATGTCTGTCCATTGGATGAACGAAAGCTGCGTACTTTGTAGGGACCGGGGTTCCCAAGAGAGCATCCATCAAAATTGGGTTTGATGTAGCCTAAATCGTGTGACCTCCACTGAGCGGATCTTGAGATTGTTGGCTTTGCCCCAAGGATTAAGATGTGCCAATTCCTATAAAAATCAGAGAAAGGGATGCCTTGGAACAAACTAGGGTTCATGGCCCAAAAAGCCATTAAGTTCTTGACTTTGTCGGCCAATGCCCCAACCGAAGGTCTCTTTCATCTAAAAATTCTGTGGTTCCTTCCCATGACATCAATTTTGAATTTTACTAACTCTAATCCCTACAAATGAAAAACTATATAAGGGAACTGAAAATTAAGAAGAAATTGTCTCATGCAAGAAAATTCAAAAATACCAAAAATAATAAACCCAAATTAGGTAAAGATTTATACTAAGATATCCATTCCTATATATATATATATATATATTGATTTATATTTATGTATAGATTTAGATATACAGGAGGATCCCAAATAGTTGGGGAAAAGCTCTAACGATGATGATGATGATATATAGGAGAGATTTCATGTCACTGCTACATTGTAATATAAACTGCTCTTCTAGGAAACTATGTTCGTGGAATTTATCTGATCTCAAGTTTTGCAATCTTGCTTTCTTCATCCCAACAATCAAAGCCAAAAAGAAAAAAAATGAATTTGCACTCAAGGAAAGGTCAATATAAGTCACTCTCCAACTATGAATCCAGGCTATCCATTTGGTGGATATAGAGGTCTAGGCCTTTAACAACTAAAAATCAACTTTTTGCTTTTTAAAATTGTTCATCTAAATAGTCAACTTTCCTAAAAAAAAAATGTTCATATAATGTCTATGAGGTCATTTATAAAAGTTTGGCAGACAATGAAACCCTCTAAGGCCTAGATCCAATATACCATCAAATGGACGGCCTATATTCATTTGGTTAAAATAAGCAATTTTTATGGTGTTTTTTTTAAATTTTGTTTTTTTAGAAATGTTCATCATAGTGAATTGAGTGTATGTTAAAAAATTAGAGTCAAATAATTGTCATTGTTACATTGTAATATAATTAAACCGCTCTTCTAAAAAACTATGTTCGTGGTTATTTTTTTGATCCCAAGTTTTGCACTCTCACTTTCTTCATCCCAACAATCAAATCCAAAAAGAAAAAAAATTGAATTTGCACCCTTGGAAAGGTCAGTATGAGTCACTCTCCAACAATGAAACCAGACCGTCCATTTGATGGATATAGAGATCTAGGGCTTTAACAACTAAAAATCAATTTTTTGCTTTTTAAAATTATTCATCTAATGTTTATGAGGTCAGCTATAAAGTTTGGGCAAAAGCTGAATTTGTAAAAGGCCTAGATTCAATCATCCCATCAAATGGACGACAATTCATTTGGTTAAAAAAATCAAATTTTTATGGTGTATTTTTAAAATTTGTTTTTTGGGAACTGTTCATCATAGTGAGGTTAGCGCATTTAAAAAAGTACACATGTTATATATATATATATATATTTATATATATATATATGGCTCACTGAGGGTATGGCCCTTGATAGAGTAGAATGACGGATCATGTTTCGTGTAGCTGACCCCAAATAGTTGGGAAAAAGAGGCTTTCATGAAGATGATTGTATATATATATATATGAGCTGTTGACCTAGTACTATAGAAGTAAGGTGCACCTAAAAATGTATTGGAAAAGTTTTTTTTGACAATAGAAAACACTCAAATAGATCATCTCGACCTCAAAATTCATGGTTATGAAAAGGGGATTTCAAGTTCTAAAAATAGTTCATCTTCTGACACATTATCTAGACCATCCATTTTAAAGATTTTCAAGTGGTTATCTATCTGCTTGATTGTCATTATTTTTGGAACTTTAAATTTCACAATTGGGGGTGGCAATTGATTTTCAATGCAATCACAAGGCTTTCTGGTACCGGAACTGCATCTTTCCTCATGGTTTTGAGGTGCGCCTTACTTCAATAGTATAAGGCTGACACCTTATACAAACCTCACCCATATATAAATAAACTGAAGAAACAAATACGATGAAATAGAAAGGGTAAAGTTAAATGATTGATATTTAAAATGAATTCTCCAAATTTTGTATAACTTCAAAAACAAAAATTTCTCCAAATTTTGTGTAGCAACATTGGTGTATGCAAAAGAACATTAGTATTTATCAAATATTAATACGAATTTCAGCAAATGTTTTTGTACACATAGCCCTTTGGGGGGGCACCGTGTTAAAACTATTTTGTTTTGTTTCAAAACAAACACGGCTTTTCTACTGCTTCTTTTATGCCTGACTTCTTTACTTTGGGTGGTACTAGGGACCACACTTTCATTCGTTTTACCTCTTTAGTCGATTAACTCTTGGAGTCTCCTTGATTTCCTTAAGTTTTGGGCGACATGTGGTGCCTTCTCATCTCTCTCTTCTAATACTTTTTATATTTGCCACATGGTCATGGTGTGTTGACATCACATGAGATCATGTTTTGGTAATGATGTGGTCCTTTGTTTTCATGACCTATCATCCTCTCCTCCCTTATATATTCGTTTTCACTCTAGACAAAGATTAAGTTGGTTGGTTGGTGTGTGAAAATAAGAAAAATTGTACTACTCACTCACTCTCTCTCTCTCTAAATGCATTTTCACAATGACCTATGATGGGTATGCCATGTTTCATGGGTATGCCATGTTTCATGATGTCTGTTTACCTATCGTAGAGATTGTTACAACTTATTGAATGCTTAAGGGAATATCTTCCTGTTAATTTAGGGAAGTTATTTGGGCATAATTTGAAATAGTTTATTGAATTATTTTGGTAATAATAAAGAACATATAAATATGATTTTACTGTTTTTGAGTGAATCTTTGAACGTGCAATTCAAAGATTCAGGAATTTCTTCCTGACCTGATTATGTCCTGGGAGTGTTCTCGCCGGGTACCGTTTGCATATCGGTTTTCTAATCGACTTGGTGGCATTGAATACTTCGAAGAAAGCGAGCTCCTCACGTGCCTCCATATTCCAGATATACAGTCATTCGATATAACCTCTGTAACCTGCTTCGATTCCTACAGGAGTTCGACTGGTACTAGGAGTTTTATGATATTATTTTTTTGTCACAGATCTTGGATAAGGGGTGGTGCTGATAAGGGGTGGAATTGAGATAGTGAATCAGGACATCGACTGTAAGTTACGTGTAACAATCCTAAAATTTCAAAAAAAAAAAAAAGGAGAAAAGATGCTTTTAAATAGGTGATGGTCTGTTTGAGTATGATGGTCCTTGGGGACCATCACTATTTTCAAAAGTTTTTGCCTTTGCCTTTGCCTTTACTTTTTCTTTTGCCTCCTGCTGCTTGCAGCTGGCCACGTCCTTTAGCGGACGTGGTTTTCGTATGTTAAAAGCAGACGCTTAACGCGACACCTCAGGTATGAGGTAGAGCGTAATAAAATATTATAATAATACGTTCTAAGAA